GAAAAAATGCCGACCACATAAGGTAGATCCTATAAAATATGGTGATGGAATTGAAGTTGATGAAACCTAATTGCTATTACCTTACTGGTTATACTTACCTGTAATATATTATGATATATTCGTCACTTCTATACGGCGTGCGTTTGCCTTCGAAAATGGAATATTTAATTTTGAAACTCAAGTAAAGATTAATAGATACCAAACATCGGCAAGCTTCTTTTCAATCCCAATGATGAGGAGGGAGCCATAATCAGAAAACTCGAGCAAGGACAGCAAAACATGACAAAATATACCTGCACTTAAGTCTTTAACAGCACTTGCATAGAACACAATCTGCTGCCTAAATGCATACAAAATGTATATATATATATATATATATATATATATATATACATGTGCATATATTTATTTGCATATGTGATGGTCTCTTATTGCGTGCGAGCTGGCCATTGTTTGCATGCAAAAGTGACGCCTGATGCCGAGTTACACAAATTCGTTTCCATGCACGACACGCATCTTTAAGATGCAATAAGATATAGATTGCATCGCATCGTAGTAAAAGTTCACAATTGCTCCTTGCATAATACCCTTCATGTTGGACATCTCATAAAACGGTTAATCTCTGAAAAATTCAATTTTCTGAAAATAAAATTCAAAAATTGTGCATCACCAGATAGTTTTGAATATTTTTCTCAGCATCCTCTCGACCATGAAGCTCAAATAATCGTTCATTTTTCTCTTCCTGGTCTTAATTATTTGACACGGAGTAAAGCTATGCGTACCGCCTTATTCATAAAGCAAAGCGTTCTGCCTGCCGCAAGCCACGTCCTACGGGTCATCATGACATAGCGAGATTCACGACCCGGCTGCAGTTAAACCCACAAATAGGTATTTATCATGTAAATCTTGAACCACCTATCTCCCCAGACAAAACCGAGTAACACAATACCGACGCATTTTCACAGATGGCACTATGCTATGAGATAACGTGTTCAACATGTTGATAACATGCTGTTGATTGGCGTCATTCCTTTCCACTGCGCAGCGTCTTTCGCTCCCATTCTGAGCGACACGGGACGGGATCCCATGGCCGATACCTTAGAGGGAGGCATCCCTTAGAGGGATGCATCATATCACATGGGCCCGCCTCCTGACCCGAAAGGCCCTATGACCCGCACACTTTTCCCTTGGATCGGTACAAGAACACGCATTAAACGCAGCAAGGTCTCTGATCGCCTCAGGTGGTCCAGTAATAGGTACATAGACTCAGTTCGCCTCAACAAGTCTAAGGCTAGAATTGGCATGGAGTGCAGACAATTCGGAATTGGCACCCTGACTGACACAGAACCATTCTAATTGCCTCAATGCGAATAATCATCATAAGCTCTCAGGTTTTCTTTCATGTCCAGAGTGTCCCCGACCAACACGAGACGCCTTCCGTTAGTTCGAGTCTCGTCCCCGCCTCTGGCAACAAATCTTCTCGAGCAACT